CCCACTCAATATGACCGCCAGTTGAGTGGGGCAACTCATAATAATAATGTGCTGGATTAGTGTGGTCCTAGTTCATTTTATTACTTCATTGCTGTGCTGTATGTATATAGGCCAATGCCTTGGCTGGCGCTCATGCAGAAAGTTTCTTGGGCAAACTCACCGGCCCAAGTGGCTCCGACGGCTAACAAAGGGGGGAGGAGTCCAGTGACGTCACGGACATCAACGTCACCGGACTCCTCCCCCTTCCCTTCGTTAGCCGATAGAGCCACTTGGGGAAGGTGGGAGGAGTCCGGTGACGTCGATGTCTGCGACGTCACCGGATCCCCGACGGGACTTCCGGAAGCCGGCGGAGAGGTGAGTGTTTTCATTAGCGATCAAAATAATTTTAATCGATCAAAAAGTTTAACGATTAATCGAGAAATGAATCGTTAATTTCCGCAGCCCTAACAAAAATGTATCTTGTGTATCACAGAGCTGTAGATCCTCAAATAATCTCTGAATTGGTGCTGACACCGTCCTTCCTTCTGGAGGGTGACTACTTTTGTTCCCCATGGTCCTTGTGTGTGTTGTAACATAGCCAACGGTCCAAGCTCGCTACCTTACTAGAATACAATCTCAGTCAATCACGGGAGTGACCTTGAAGTATAACACACAGGGACCATGGGGAGCAAAAGTAGCCACCCATCCAGATAGGACAGTGTCAGCACCAATTCAGAGATGATTTGAGGATCAACAGCTGAGGGATGCACAAGATACATTTTTGTTAGGGCTGCGGAAATTAACAATTCATTTCTCGATTAATCGTTAAACTTTTTGATCGATTAAAATTATTTTGATCGCTAATGAAAACACTCACCTCTCCGCCGGCTTCCGGAAGTCCCGCCGGGGATCCGGTGACGTCACGGACATTATTAACAGATTAACTTCTGTTAGTTAGGGTACTTGAATGCAGTTTTAAGATTGAACTTGTGAGTTTAGTGTCACTTTAAGTGTAGCAGCTGTAATGCTGGTAGTGTGACTACTATACTTGTAGGGTAAAGATGTGGAGAAAGAAAACAACAAAGAATTTTTTTGGAGATAAAAAAAAAACCTGGGGCCATAGCATCCAGGAGATATAAGATCACATTACCAGCGACATCAGATCACAGTTGAATGGAAGGTAATTGTCAATGTAGATGTCTCAAATATTTAAAAATGTGCACAGAGCATCATTCTGCATTGCAAAAACATTTCAAATAACATAATTTATTAATGTATACCGTATTTGAGATCCAAAACCTGCTTTGCTGCATTGAAAAGATGTCAGCAACTGAATTTGGTTTATTAGTACTATCATTTGGTTTTCTACTCAGTCACACTTTGTATGGGATTTGGTTAAAAAACAAATTAGCTATAATGCGAATCATATATGTGGCAATATGATAGAACGATTGAACCTTGGATTGCAAGGAGATTAAAATTGCCCCAGTCAAACCTGGTGGAAAAATGTGATTGCTCTCGAAATTGCTGTAGGTTTTTGTCCAATTTTAGTTTGATCCTTTAACCCCTTCGTGACTGACGACGTACAGTGTACGTCGCCAGCATCAGTCATGAAGGGGTTAATAAAATGTATTAAAGTTGTCAATTTATTGCTCAATTTTAACTTCACAATCAAATTCTGGTGGTCTATTGAAATCACAGGTGGTATATTCCTTAGTTTCTGACAAGTACTAGCAATTGAATGTTCAATTGCAAGTGAATGGAAAGTGCCAGAAATTGAGGGAAAACTATATGACCAGCTTAACGCTATATGTGACCAGAAAAACCTGGGCACAAATGTTTCATGCTTTTGAACATGCACCAATATATGTCCAAATGTACCAAGAGCAGAGAAGCCACAACAGTAGGGTAGCCATGCATTATCCTGTAAAATCATCATGGGAGAAATTACTGTCAAAAGAATGTAAGCATGACTTCACACTGTTGATCAGTGGTAATGCTTAAAAATGAGCATTGGAGCACTACGGTGTCATTCTTTCTTGATGGTAACTCAATGCACCTTACCCAGGCATCTGCATTGCCAGGCTCAGCGCAGAGTAATACACTATTGTGTATTGTGGTGCATTGTGTTACAAAAAATACTGCATGTATCTGTTTTGGTGCGTTTGGCAGCCTATTCAAATGAATGGTATGCCTTAATGCAATGAATGTTAGCATGCAGCATAATATGTATGGACTAACACACAGTGCAAAAGTTGTTCCAACAGCAACGACACAGTTGTTGGCTTTACTCCCGCCCGTTTGTGAATGGCACCCTAATGCACTAAACCAGCAGACATTCAACACGCCTGCATTGCAGTGAGAGCACCACAACAAAGAGCAACACCCTACTGTGCGTTGTGGTGCACTGGGCTTGCAAAAATGGTGCAGGTTTGATTTTTTTAGGTCCATTGTGATGTCCTAAACAAGTTAATTGGCTGCCTTATGACTATGCACACTAACACGTGACACAATGAGTTACGTATGAATAACGTATTAAGATACTGCTGCTGAGCTGCATGATGATGGAAAACATAGGGCTCTATCGGTGGTTCAGTGTCATAGTGATATTCAGAGTCATCCGAATCCTTTTGCTTTCTCACCTCTCAGTTGTGTTTTGTTCACTTAATACTAATACACACTTTGTGATTTTTATCTTGTTCAACGTATCTCTTAAATGGACAGACCGCACAAAAGTTGTGTTTGAAATATAATTAGATGCAGATTTACTACCTACTCCTTAAATGTCTGGAGAACACTGTGGGGGGAATTTATCAAAACTGGAGTGGGCAAAATCTGGAGTAGTTGCCCTATGGCAGCCAATCAGCTTCTCTCTTCATTTTGTTCAGTTAAGATTTGAAAATGAAAGAGAAGCTGATTGGTTGCCATCTACAGCTGCTCCAGTTTTGATAAATTCCCCTCTGTGTGTCTACCCCTGGGTTCACCAACATTTACAACCATTCTGAAGGAGCTCATTACCAGTAATGGATTTCCGCTATTGACATTAGGGCCTTTCAAAATGGAGGAAGGAGACTACACAGCTAAAGGAGGCAGATATGGAAACTGAGAGGTGTTGAATCCCCAAGTAAATCATCCCGCCAGTGTCCACCCATAAGTAAAAAAATGAGTTTAAGGTGGACTTGGACTTTAATGTTCCGCAGAGTTCTGCTTTAATCCTAACCCTTGCAGTGGGGCTACTGCAGAGACCTGAGTTGCAGTAGCAAGTAATGACCAGCAGATGGAGAGGATCATTATATTGATCATTACATCAGCCAAATAACGTATTTTCTAGCAAAGGTAGCTTCGTATTTCTCCCAGTTAAGTAAGACAGTAAGACAGTTAGTAAGGATTTGTAATGATTTTTACCTTCTCTACTTTGTCATTTAATATTTAGACCTTTGTTCAGCCAGTATGTGGAAAACATACAGGCTTATTCACAAAAGGGTGAGAAAGAAAATATACTAACAAGGTTATTCACAAAATGGTGAAGAGTTAGGCCCCATTCACACTGAGCGATTTTTGCAGCGATATCGCTCATATTTCCACGCGATATCGCTCTATGTAGCTTCTCCAATCCATTTCAATGGAGCTGTTCACATCTCGTCGCTCAATATCGCTTGTAGCTCGTCGCTGGTAGCTTGTCGCTCCTACATGACCCTTTTTGTGAGCGATTTTGCTCCTGATTGCATACAGGCCAATAGGGACAAGTCGCTCAATATCGCTCATATGAAATCGCGCGATTTTCATGTCGCTCAGTGTGAATGGGGCCTTAGGAGAAGTGAACAATCTAGGACAACATAGCTGAACTGGTAAGTGAGCCGAATTGGAGATTCTTTCCAAATCAGCTATTTTGGTCTAGATTGTTTACTTCTCCTGTCTTCTCCAAACTCTTCACCCTTTTGTGAGTAACCCTGATAATGTTGCAGAAGATTCTTTCTATGAAAGTGTATTACACAATGCATTACTTAACATCATTTCTCCAGTGTCTGGTGTTTTCAGCCAGCACAGCAAGTCACAAAACAAAAGAGAAGCAAACTGATTAATGTTAACTCACATGACAGTGAAACTTCCCCGATATGGTTCTCACCTCTTCTCTGGCAGTGTCCCTACAGTAACAGCTTCCTGACCCCGCTCTGTCATTTTACGTGGCCTACCACTTTGTGGCTGAGTTGCTGTTGTTCCCAGTTGCTTCCACTTTGTTATAATACCACTAACAGTTGACCGTGGAATATTTAGTAGCAAGGAAATTTCAGGGATGGACTTATTGCACAGGTGGCAACCTATCACGGTACCACGCTTGAAGTCACTGAGCTCCTGTGAGCGACCCATTCTATCACAAATGTTTGTAGAAGCAGTCTGCATGCCTAGGTGCTCGATTTCATACACCTGTGGCCATGGAGGTGATTGGAACACCTGAAATTTGCTGCATTCCTAGGTGCTTGATTTTATACACCTGTGGCCATGGAGGTGACTGGAACACCTGAATGCAATGATTTGGAGGGGTGTCCGAAAAACTTTTGGCAATATAGCGTATATGGTGTTAGTAGATGGGATACTGGAAGGTAATGGAATATTAAAAATAAAACCAGAACCTGCTGCTGAACAGTAGAGACCTCAACCACTTCAAATGTTGGGAAAGACCACACTCATATTGTTGAACATGTTTATTTTAGGGAAACTCTGCAACATAAAAATTGTGGGGGAGAGCCTTTATGAAGTATTTCTCCCATATTCCTCGTAATGTAGAGAGGGTGGAATTCCCCTGATGAATAACATTCACCATGTAGTCATATAAACAGCTGACTTGATCCAGGAATTCCATGTCATGTACTAACCACTTACTTTTCATTGCTAACAGAGGAAAAAAAAAAGCTGATCTAGTCACACTTCCATTGTTTCTACAAAAGAAAAAAGTGGAATGACATGACAGTTTGAAAGAATAATACTAATCAACTATGACACAATGTGGCTATACTGTTTTATACGGTATTCTACTTTCGGGTTTATTTAGTAGAAGTTTAATAAAACAGATACAATACTTTTTTTTTTTTATTTCATTTTGCTTTTACGTGCCAATGATAACTCTGGTTCCTTTTACTCTTTTGGTGCCAATGGCTGCCTGCCATTAAATAAAGTAACATTGCGAAGCATTTTTAAAAAAAGTCAAAAGCTATTTTACCAACTTAAATTCCTATTCAGTTTTTTGCTTTCTTCACCAGTCCACCATTTGGCACGCTCTCTTTTTATACGTTTTACCTTTGTTTTTCCAGAGTGTATGCTATGGTATTTTGGATATCCTTACCCATTCCCCAGCACGCACTAATGTTTTCCCACTGGACCAGAAGGCATCCTACAAGCCGTACATTTACTCTGACTGACCAGAGAGGTTTGTCCAGCTATGGTCCTCTCAATGAAAATGTGGAGTAGGAGTTGAAAAGTTACAGCTCTCAGTTAGGACCATTTATTAAACATTGTAGGCGGCATGCTGCTGGTTCAAAGGGTTCTCAGGAGACTTCATCCATTCCTTCTTCAAAAGTTGTTTTAGCTGGGATAACCTCATATTAGGATTTTCTTGTTTAAGGCGTGGCAAGTTTTGTTCCTCATAGGCTGCAAAGGCAGCTTTCATACGACGCTCAGGGTGGCGGTCAAGCTCCTTGCCAACACTGCAGGAGAGAAAAAAAGATTAGATTTATGTGAAGCTCAGCTAAAGAGACACTATCAAGCAAGTCAAAGTTCTTGGAAAAGCTTTGTCTGCAGGGAAACCGACACTTTGGGTAATATGAATCTCACAGCTCTCACTGGCTCCTCCTGCTAACCTCAGTAATGATGTCACTACTGTGTGCTGCAGTGATGTAGAGGTCAGCAGAAAGAACCAGTGAAACCTGCAGGGGACCCAGGAAATCAAACACTGCAGGAGGTTTTTTCAGGGGACCATGCCTCCAAATAGGAATGGTATTCAGCAGGAAGGGGCAACAGGAGAGGTAAATATTCAGTTTCATCTTTATAAGTGGGTGCTTTGCTCAAAATTTTTTGTGACAGGTTATTATATTAGGCTAGTTTAGGGAACCTTGTTGAAAAAACTGTTACTATCCAAATCCAAGGCTCCCTTTTAGTGCTGGAGTTTGCCAAAGCACAATTCCCAGAAGCAGTGCAAGTTCCAGGGCAACATAACACTGTATTGTGGCGCTAGAGTGGTCTGATTTGCCCAGAACTAGTGTTGCTTCTAGGACCTGGGCAATGGCAACCTTTCAGAGCCCCAGGTTTAATTGCCAAGAGCTGATCTGACAGATTGTCTTCAAACTATGGGAATGAAAATAGCTGCAGATTTTTATTAAAGTTTTGAATACCTCTGCTAACCTGCTAGCTCCAATGATGGTGTGGTTTTTAAAAAGCAACAGATATGCCAATGGCATAGTTTACAGTCTAGATAAACACTATTGGAGGAATTTATCAAAACTGGAGCAGGCAGAATCTGGAGCAGTTGTCCACGACAACCAATCAGATTCTCTGTTCAGTTTGTTCAGTTAAGATTTAAAAATGAAAGATAGAAGCCGATTGGTTGCCATGCACAACTGCTCCAGATTTTGTCTGCTCCAGTTTTGCTAAATCTCCTTCACAGTATATAACTGAAGCCACAGTACATTATAGAATCTGATTTTTGTCCCCCTAAAAGAACCTGAGGTGGTGAGACCCAGGTCCGACTGCTTCACTTCAGATGCGAATGCTACATTTTTCGAGTATATGTAAAAATAAACATAGTTATTTTGCTACTTTAGAGTCTGTACCTCTGTGTTTTCTCTACTTAAGCTGTCCATGTAAAAAAAGAAAATCACTTGATTCCCCCATTCACACGAAAGGTGTAGATGGAGGAATCGTCCCTACTAGCTATTGTATTCTGACAGCCGTTACCCATTGGCTGCAGTCCCTGCTGAGCACCGAAGGGTGCTTTGCCACCCAGCTCCTTCAACAAAAGTAGACAGGAAAAAGAGACTTTTGTTGAGTCTGGTGGTGCAAGCAGGGCCACCCATGGATCGAATTTTGACTGATTCAGCTGGAATGCAGCAGCCTCTAGCTTCCACTCAAGATCCCTATCTAGACAGACCAGGATGAGGAGCGACTGCACCCTGTACCATCGCTGGTCTATTAGCTGTCGTGGAGAGAGCAGCTGAATGGACAGTTTTTTTTGCTTGTAGTATTTCTGGAGACATTTGGCTTGTGGCTGTAAAGGATATGCAGTGGAGCTTAACATACTTAGCTGTCCTGTAGTTTTCTGAAGGAAACACTGGAAAAGCTGAGAACTGCATATTACCCAAGGTGAATTTTTAGTAATAGGTGGATTACACTACTCTGTTTAATACCGACATTCAACAGAGTATCAAGACCTTGATAGTAAAAGCCTGAAAGGTACTATTAGCATAGCGTGGATTGTGTTCTATGGTTTAAAATGAGAACAAAACCAAAAATGTTACCCTTTCAAATATTAAACATTCTGATATGAAAGTCTCACACTAAAGGTGCCCATACACCTTACAACCATCACAAGACTTTTGTCTTGCGATGGTCGTAAGCTGATTAAAAGCTCGTACGATCTGACCATCTTGGACAGGCAGATTGTACTTGCGATCATCGAAAGCCCGCCCCGCTGAGGGGCGGGCTTCCGATTACTGCAATGCTGAACGGGCAGTGTGAGCGTGCGCACACCGGCCCGTTCCGCAGTTGTTGAACGAGCAGGCTAGAAACCCGCCGACAATCGTACGATTCTCGGCGAGTTTTCTAGCATGCTGGTTCGACAAAAGAAGTGTGACCGTACAGTAAAAACGGTTGCATGCCTTCCATACACCTTGCGATTATCGTACAATCGCTGGATTTCCCGCGATTATCGTACGATAATCGCAAGGTGTATGGGCACCGTAACACTTTCTATTTATGTCACAAAATCTCCCAGTTACAGTCTGTGGCAAAACTGTCACATTATATACAAGTGGAAGTGCTTGTTGCAAGCATGCATAGAGCCTGCTGTCAGCGCTGTGAAGCCATTGTAAATTTTTGACAACCTCTGCTATACATTCAGCCACAACCCACCTACATCATTTTTAATGTGGGTCACAAAAATAACAGAACATTGCTCACTGAGTATGATGGCAGAAATTGAAGAATACATTCAGAAAGCTATCCTATAGAGGCCAAGAACATAATCACATTTTTTTTTCCTTAACCTATGATCTGGGAAAGCTCGAGATTAGTTACTGGAACTGCACAACTAGAGCTGGAACACTGATAACTCATCCATATCAGCTGTATATGCCCATGCCAGGTTTCATTTTTAGCCCCCATTGGTCTTCTTTATCAAACGGTCTTAAAAAAACAAACCCTCTGGGTTGGGACTGTGCCACCCCGTAGCAACCAATCAAATGTATGCGATGCAAAAATAGTTGAATTTGCAGGGTACAGACAATCAGATGGTTGGTATTGAACTGTGTGTTGTACATACAGTAAACATGCGAGTTAACATAGAGGCTTCCGTGATTAACCTGTATTTCAGAAAATGCTACTTGCCTAGCTCTTATTCCATCACTCCCTCTATTGTGCTTTGAGTCACTGCATAAAACAAGAAAAGACTGACAGAGAACAGCTTATTCGCATCTCATACAAAACAGCATCTAGTGGTGTCTGGTAAGGCTAATGCATTCCTGGGTCCATACCCCTGTTATCAGAGCCTTTGTATGAGATGCACATAAACTGTGCTCTGTCTGTCCAATTGTGGAATATCAACATATGTTTGTGAAGACCTTTTTAATCTTTATGAATAAATAATATACTTGAGGCCAGGAGGGCGCTCTGTTCTTTTGCTTTATGCATGTACCAGATTTCCCTATGTACTTTAAAAGCTGCTAGCTTTCAGGAGACGTTGGAAAATGATTGTAATGACCTTCTCAGGCTACACTTGTGAAACATTCAGCTACTGATGATAGCGCTTTGGAAAGTTTAGTTGAAGTTACTCTGAGTCACTGACCAGAAACATATACTCAGATTTTATCATACTGAACTGTGTCCTTACTAGTCTGCATTTCACAAACCATAGACAGCTAGGCTACTAGCATTTACCAAAGGAGGTCAGCAATGGCAGTTCCCATGTTTACTATATAGATGACACCACTATAATCCTAGCCTGCTCTGCTTTTTACATATCTTTGATTTCACCAATGATTTGCAAACACACTGAAAATGTTAATGCTGTGCATCAAATTAACTCTGTGATAAGCAGCTTTAGCCAAAATATGTTTATGATCAATACATTCTTGCCATCAAATTAACCTCCTAGGTAGTTGGTGGAAAAAGGAGAACATTCTGGTGGCACGTATAGTTCAGGTCCAGTTTGTAGACTATTGTGTTCTCAGAGAATCAGACTGATGACAGCAGCATAGCAGATCTACAGCGGATGCTGCTAGTAGTCGTAATTAGTAGTTACTCTTGTGGTTAGCATGTAGCACGTCAGCCAATTGCCCCAGTTTGTTACCCATTGCTAAGAATGCGAGGCATGGACTGGCAGCCAATGTTCTTACCCAATGTTAAGAATGGAAAGCATCTGAGCTGGACTGGCAGCCAACGAGGATAGATGATTGTCTGCACAATTATGCATAGCAAGGTTTGTCACATTTTTATATAAAGGAGAAATATTGGGAGACTAAAATGTACTTTTCCCAATGCTTAAAGCCGGTGTGTGACACTGCAGGTGTCCAAAGATCGAGAGCTGAGTGATCACAAACCGCTGATCACTCAACTCATGGTCTTCTCCCTGCAGAGAGTGGTGATTGTCAGTCACTGCTCCCCGCAGGGATTCCCCTTCCCATCTCTGTTCCGCCAGTGCTCACTGGAGGGGTAGACAGGAAGAGGGTGAGCATAGCTGGGTCTGGCTCTAAAGAGGCAGAGTCAACTGTTAATCAGGCAGCGGGGTGGATTGTTGGGCTCCTTCCCAGCTGCAGCACAGCTCTGCGCTGTCAGCAAATAGTGGGCCGTGACCCCCTAGAATGATGCTGACTTTGGATCACAGGAGGACATTACCAAATGTATTAATTTGACCCAAAAGAGGACTAAAGCCAAAAACAGGTTTAGCTTTAGTTCTCTTTTAATGTTATTTGCTGTGCCACCTGGGTTGCCTGGGCTCCAAATAAGAGAAGCAAGTTGCTAACCACAAGTTCTAAATCAGCAAGTACAGATTACAATAATTTTGTCATTTCTGTGATGGATACCGCTTAGAGCAGTGGTTCTCAACCTGTGCAACCTCAGGACCCACATTTGTCCTTGGTCATTAAGTCATGACCCAAGTCACACAGCAATGGAACGTACGGCATTGCGGTACCGCGTGTTCCGGTCCGGGCAAATCGAACTGTGGGTGGGAGGTGCGTTTGGGGTGCCATTGAAATGAATGCCACACCAGAATGCGCGGTAGGTGCGATTGCGTGAAACAATGCGATTAACGCACTGTACTAATATGAATGGGCCCTCAAACATTGACAGACACACACAACCACAAACACAATCTCGCGCACTCACAGACATTCTCAAACACGTACACAGTCCAAAAAAAGGTAAATTTTTCTTCTTTTTTTAAGATCCACCCAGACTTCCTATCTTACGAGAACTGGAGTGGATCCTCAGCCTGGGCTTCTGTGCCGTGATTGAGCTCCATCCATATGTGCATTGCCTGCACAGCTCCCTTGTGTGCCCTGTAGAGGTGTCGGGAGGCAGAATGTGATGTCGCTTCGCTACAGGACACGTGAGGGAGCTGTAAGCAATGCACGTATGGGATGGAGATCCATAGCCCTAGTCCACCCCACCTCAAGCTGACAATCAGCACCGGGCAGCATATTTTGAATGGCTACTTGGCGTGAGAACTGACAGTGCTGCACTAGGTGGAGGCTGGGGAGCCTCTCACCTAGAAAAGTGGAAGGCATGCGGTGACCCACTGAAGATGGGGTCGTGACCCACTTTTGGGTCACGACCCACCAGTTGAGAACCAAGGGCTTAAAGGATGTCCCCTACTCCACAGCACGCCCCAGGTACTGGTACCAGCTTATTCTCACTGGAACATATCATACTTTATACATGAAAGGATAATGCACAATGGGGTGAAATCAAATATTCTTCTATTAAAAGGCAGCAGGATATAGTTCCGGCACGTTTTGCGCTAAGACAAAGCGACTTATCAAAAGGAGAGAGAAAGCACTGTCTTAGCGGAAAATGTTTCATGTACGCTGTCCATACAAGGAACAATGATTTTAAAGACCATAGGTTTAATGTGACCAGGTAAAACAATCACACCCAATTTCAAGGTGGCCATATGTTGCAAACAGAACCTGGATTTCGATACAGTAACAATTGCAAGGATATTACTTTCCTTTAAAATACATAACCTGCAAAATTTATTTCTGATATTTCTGTGGCAAAAAGTCTAAAAAGTGTTGCACTATATGACAGCAGACATATTCTGAAGTACTTCTATTTGAAACAGAATAATTGCCTGCAGTAAATGGCATGCATGTTACTGCCAAGGATACACAGTATAATGAGTCTTTGCAGTATTTATACACCACTATGCTTTAGTCACTCTGTTGCAGGATGCCGCTCATTCTTGTCACCCTAGCAGCTCTCCAGCCTTGACATATATGTATTGACCCTGTAGCTATTCTCTTTCTACGTCTGTGCTTTATCATTCACATGTTTAAAACACAACCCTCTTGTGTTGTCGGCTGGGAAAAAGGAAATTTAGTATGCAAAATTGTATACATTGCTATCAAATACCACTTCTCAGTTTTACTGAATTGTAGTTTGCGGCAGGCTTGCTTTCTTACACTGCCGATTACCTTGACCAGTGAATTCCCTACCGGTATGCTGCAACAGAAACACATGTGATGTGTTGCCTACCTCCACCTACACTTTCCCACAGCATCCTATTAGGACACAGATTTTCACAAAATTACCACAAGAGTCAGCAACTGTGGACATTGTTTTCTTTATGCATGCTAGTTACTAGTGTATCTCAACCTAAACTATCCTATGGAGCTTTTCCCTAGTTACCTGAACAAGAGATACATAGCACCATCGCTGTGCCTCACTGCAGACAGAGAATTAGCAGCAATGTGGCGACTGCCACTAGTGATCATGGGAGCTGAATTTCAGTCAATCACCTATGTTATGGCCCTTAGAGGGCCTTCAAGACCTAGGGTAAGGGTCACTTAATAGTAGGATAATGAAACCCCATGGGCAACCATGACTGAAAATGCAGCTTTCCTCTAATAAAATACTTCCCCTTTCATTCTAAAGATACAACTCAGTTAATTATAACCTGTGATAAAAAAAGAAGCCTCTCTGATAAGCTTGTATGTATGTCATTATGCTCCTACATTTGCATAAGAGGCAGAGCACATTACTGCATAAAACAATCTGTGAAACTTCCTAAACTCCAGGAAAATAAAATCCCAGTCATCTTCTACTTTTCCTCTTCCAATGTTCCTTGGTCAATGTCACTCCTCCCTTCCCTCTATCTGCTGTCTTGATTAGTAAATAAGTTACCATTTTGCCTTCTCTAACATCTAAAGTCTATGTACTGTATGTCCACCATTCTGCCCCTTTTCTCTTCCCTCACAGTCTGATTAGTTCCTGCTCTGCCTTAATACCCCATAACTCCACGACCAATGTATAGGCCGTCTCCACTAACAATCAGTCCTAGTAACATTTAGGGGTTCATTTATAAAACATCCACCCAGCCTCATGCCCTCATGTCGTTTGCATGGTATTCTCGCCATGAGATGGGGCTGAGGAGCATAGAAAATATCCTATGCTCCTCGGTTCCATCTAGTGGCAGAAATACTATGTGAAAGGCATTTGCCCAGTGAATGGCTGAGTGGAAGTTTTATGAATTAACCCAGCATACTTTCAATATTTCCTCTCTTCAGGGAACAATACCTAATCACACTGCCACAATAGCCCGTTGCCATCCTTTGCGTCAGCGGGCTTGTTGCGACATCCAGCCTCAATATTGTCTGACTGAGCAGTAATGCATACCTGTGTATCATGCATCACAAATCTCATTATTGGGCATACATTGGGTGGTCAGTTTAAAAACTTAAAGCAAATTAAATAAAACTGATCATAAACCACCATTTCTCTTTAAAAAACAAAAACAAAAAAAAAAACATAAAAAACAAGATCAAATCACTCTCTATGTAATGTGTATTATATATTATTTTATATGGCTACAAAGATTGCAGTCACAAAACAAGTCTGTAAAAGTGCCTGGAAGGGCATAAGACTGAAATGCAGTTAGTCACTCGTGCTTGAAAATTTCTGCTTCAAGAGAGAGAAACATCATTGAAACCACAGCCATAGGCCAGTTTACTACACAGCCTATCACTAAAGACAGGTAAGGAAAGCCAGCATAACAATGAATTTGTATATTACTACCTTAGTGCAGCAATGGCCTCCTCTACAGAACGTGCTTCCACTTCACCTTCCTCCAATATACGACGGTTTATATTTTCTTCCAACGGCATTTCTAAGTGAGTCTTGGGCTTTTCATCATTTTCTAGAAATAAATTATCAATTAGTCTTACACAGTTTGAATGGGAAACTAGATCACCTCTGTCTACTATATGCAACTATAACCTTTCTGGGTTTCATCTTTCTTCAGCGTTTCTTCTATTTGAGCTCTGGTCACTTTAGCAGGAGGTATGGGTTTTGCCTGTTTACTCTTTAGCTTGGCATCTTCCTCATCTAGCATTCGCTGGCTTTCCTTTTTTCTTTCCAACAGCTCCAGACGACGTTTCTCCTTTTCCTCCTGATAAAGACACATTTTATAAAGGTTAAAACTGGAATAAAAGAAGAAAATAACGTGAATTCTGTTAATATTAAAACCATTAATTAGTATCCTCCCCATAGTCCTATCAATTTAGATGTACTTATGGGGGCAGGCACATTTTCCAGGGGGCATAGGCACTTTGCAATGTCCATGTTATACAAAGGGTCTATGTTATAATAAGTGTATGGATAATGCACTTTAAAAAAGGCACTTGAAGCAGGCACAATTATATAGCAGCAGTGCTCCTGACAGACTGCAGGTAATCCTGTTTTCCCCATCCACAGCGCTCTGTTTTAAAATCTGATTTCTACTCTCCACTCTGCACATACGCTTCCTACCATTGTGGCTTCTCTTCTTAAACTCTATTTCCTTTACCCCCCCTCTCCACCCCTCAGATTATATACAGTTGTGTGAAAAAGTGTTGGCCCCCTTCCTGATTTTTCATTGTTTTGCACGTTTGTCACACTTTAATGTTTCAGATCATCAAACAAATTGAAATATTAGTCAAAGATAACAAAAGTAGACACAACATGCAGTTTTTAAAGGAAGGTTTTTATTATTAAGGGAAAACAAAATCCAAACCCACATGGCCCTGTGTGAAAAAGTGTTTACCCCCTAAACCTAATAACTGGTTGGGCCACCCTTAGCAGCAAGAACTGCAATCAAGCGTTTGCGATAACTTGCAATAAGTCTGTTACAGCGCTGTGCAGGAATTTTGGTCCACTCATCTTTGCAGAATTGTTGTAATTCAGCCACATTGGAAGGTTTTCGATCATGAACCACCTTTTTAAGGTCATGCCACTGCATCTCAATAGGATTCAGGTCAGGACTTTGACTTGGCCACTCCAAAGTTTTCATTTTGTTTTTCTTCAGCCACAGAGGTGGACTTGCTGGTGTGTTTTGGATCATTGTCCTGCTGCAGAACCCAAGTTCGCTTCAGCTTGAGGTCACAAACAGATGGCCGCACATTATCCTTCATGATTTTTTGGCCCTGTGTGAAAAAGTGTTTGCACCCCCATGTTAAAACATAACTTAACTCTGGTTTATCACACCTGAGTTCAATTTCTCTAGCCACACCCAGGCCTGATTACTGCCACACCTGTTCGCAATCAAGAAATTCCTTAAATAAGACTTGACTGACAAAGTGAAGTAGACCAAAAGATCCTCAAAAGCTACACATCATGCCGAGATCCAAAGAAATCCAGGAACAAATGAGAAAGTAATTGAGATCTATCGTCTGGAAAAGGTTATAAAGCCATTTCTAAAGCTTTGGGACTCCAGCGAACCACAGTGAGAGCCATTATCCAGAAATGGTGAAAACATGGAACAGTGGTGAACCTTCCCAGGAGTAGGCGGCCAACCAAAATTACCCCAAGAGCGCAGTGACGACTCATCCAAGAGGTCACAAAAGACCCCACAACAACATCCAAAGAACTGCAGACCTCACTTGCCTCAGTTCAGTTCAGTGTTCATGACTCCACCATAAGAAAGAGACTGGGCAAAAATGGCCTGCATGGCAGAGTTTCAAGACAAAAACCGCTGCGGAGCAAAAAGAACATAAAAGCTCGTCTCTGTTATGCCAGAAACATCTTGATGATCCCCAAGACTTTTGGGAAAATACTCTGTGGACTGACGAGACAAAAATTGAACTATTTGGAAGGTGTGTGTCCCATTACATCTGGCGTAAGAGTAACACCGCATATCATAAAAAGAACATCATACCAACAGTAATATATGGTGGTGGTAGTGTGATGGTCTGGGGCTGTTTTGCTGCTTCAGGACTGGAAGACTTGCTGTGATAAATGAAACCATGAAATCTGCTGTCTACCAAAAAATCCTGAAGGATAATGTGCGGCCATCTGTTTGTGACCTTAAGCTGAAGCGGACTTGGGTTCTGCAGCAGGACAATGATCCAAAACACACCAGCAAGTCCACCTCTGTGGCTGAAGAAAAACAAAATGAAGACTTTGGAGTGGCCAAGTCAAAGTCCTGACCTGAATCCTATTGAGATGCTGTGGCATGACCTTAAAAAGGTGGTTCATGCTCGAAAACCTTCCAATGTGGCTGAATTACAACAATTCTGCAAAGATGAGTGGACCAAAATTCCTGCACAACGCTGTAACAGACTCATTGCAAGTTATCACAAATGCTTGATTGCAGTTCTTGCTGCTAAGGGTGGCCCAACCAGTTATTAGGTTTAGGGGGCAAAATCTTTTTCACACAGGGCCATATGGGTTTGGATTTTGTTTTCCCTTAATAAAAACCTTCCTTTAAAAACTGCATGTTGTGTTTACTTTTGTTATCTTTGACTAATATTTCAATTTGTTTGATGATCTGAAACATTAAAGTGTGACAAACGTGCAAAACAATGAAAAACCAGGAAGGGGGCCAACACTTTTTCACACAACTGTACTTCACCCTCTCTCCTGCCCCCCTCCCTATTACTACACTCATCACCTCCTGCTCATTCTGAATGCACATGCTAGGATTACCTGGAGCATGGAGCAATTTTGCCAATTTTGCTACGTGTTTGTTTAACCATAATTTCCATGGTTCCACCTTTTAAAAATGTTTTTTTTTAAACTAGCGGGCACTAAAGGGTTAATTTTTTTAATTAATTACAGGGACTTTTGATACTTAGTATTCTGAGGAGACACTGTATTCTCATCAGGGATACTTTGTATCACTGTTGTAACACACTGATCCAGCTTGCAGCTCTACAACACAGTGAGCTGCAAGAGGGATCAGTGGCTGTAACAGTACTGTAATCACTGCGATTAGATATCACAGTGTTGGGACCCCCTCATTTGCTGTTGAGGGTCTGCCTCGGACACCGAGTGGCCCAGCAACAGTATTGACAACATGAGCCCTGGTCCCTCCATGGACCAGCGCTTTAACTTACTGAAAGATTGTGACGGAATTATTCAGTCGTCAGGAAGGGGTTAAAGGAAAGTCAGAATTTCTAATCTACATGCTTATTCTGGGTCAGTGGCACCAAAACAAATTAACTATTACAGAACAACTCAGTTTTTTTTGTTGTCAAATTAACCCTTGCAGACCTAATGATGTCATGAATCTTTAGACTGCTGGAGCCCAGAGAAGAGGCTGTGGGGACTGGTCTAGCAGCCAGATGGGACCGAGGATGAGGTCGGTAGATTGGTACTGAACTTGCAGTTCTATGGAAATGCAACTGCAGTTGAAGTGGAAATATAGCCGATTTTTGGATGGGGTAAGGAAAGGTTCAAGCCCCTGACCTTGTTATTTTTTGGCTTTCTGTGTACCACTGTGGAAACTTCACTTCCTGTCCCAGTGATACAACACAAATTTAATGGAAATCTCCCAAATTGAGGAGAATTTCCCTCTTAGAGAGCTATAGGAACAAGAAGATTTTTCCTTACCTCTTGTTCTGGGGACAACTAAAAACATTTGCATTGCTCTCATTTTCTGTTTCAATGACAATGGTCACAAAGAAATTGGTGAATCTCCCCAAACTCAGACAGCAATAAAAACTTGACAGAAAGTCCATCCTTTTCCTACTCTATCCAAAACGTAAAAAAGGTTTTGCCTAAAAATACACTTTGTTAGCTCAACTCTTTTGACAGCTCAGCTTGTTACAGCTAAAGAGTCACATTAAATTAACTTAATAAAACAAAAAGTAGACATTAAAAAAAGTCATTAAATAAATGATTTTGATTAACAAAGTATCTTTCAAGTGAGTCAGAAAGACTATTATTAAATTATGTATGTGAAATGTCACAGTATGTGTGTAACCATTCCGCACGTATTCTGCGCCTCACTATGCAAGATGGGTGCACAGCAACCAGAAGTGCTGTCAAAGTACAACTGAAGACAGGGCAGGACACGAATTAAATTTAACAATGATTACTTCAGAGTAGTGGTCATGCATACCTGATGACAAAGGACCCTTTTCTCAAAATTACATTTTGCTTTGAGAGGGGCCCCCAAAACGTCAGATTTGCATGACAATTTCTCTGCGGTAAATCTTTGCTAAACTTCATTGAAATGCTGGCCCTCACTAAATTTCTATTTCAGGGACACTACAAAAGCACAACAGCACTGTTATTCAAATAAAAACACAGGCACTGTGTATACAGTATGCACTTCTACATGAGGCAAAAAGAGTCCTGATCCTTTTTCAATCTTTGTAGACAAATACACGACAGTCATACAGAAGAGGAATAAAAGTGCAGGCAACAGCAGTTTCAGACAGACCAGATGTCATTTTCAGTGCATGGCAGAGGCAAAGGACACCCACTGGAGCGGGATAATAATGTAGTTAGAAGGTGACCTTTTTAAGACCACAATAAATATCATATTAAGGTGTAAATCAATAAAGACTTATTTTTATAGGTTTCCCTTATATAAAAAAGGATTTTTTTGATACTCACTGTAAAAATCCTTTTTACTGAGTTTATTAAAGGATGCAGCGGAGATCTTGAATCTCTGATGACAAGGTTATAGCGCCACCCGTAGAAGTAGGACACTAGGCACAAGAACACAGCCTAGGGGCTGTCCTACTGGTGGACAAACCCCTATCTGCTAGAAGCAGCTCAGTTAGTGACAAAGCAGTACAAAATGCAACAACTGGAAATAATAACCAGAGGGGTGGGTGCTGTGTTCTTCAAGAAAAGCAAAGAAAGTACAGAAAAAAAACCTATTTTCTCTTCCATTCATTGAAGGACACAGCTGAGATCGTGAATCACTGACTATTGGGACATCCTAAAGCAGTATCTAATGAGGTGTGAATAAAACAAATGATTCCTCTCGGACAGCAACAGGTACACGGTTGCCTGTAGAGGTCCCCCAACTGATAGACGTGAAAATGGAAAAAATAGTCCTGGGGTCCCCGAGGCCTCCTTCAGCTCAGAGTGGGCAGGGATGCCCGTGCACTCCAAGAGACTGACAAAAGGGGTGAATAGTCAAGTCAGTCCCCAAAGACAGCTGGAATTGTCTGCCCT